GCAGCCTCTGTGTCTACCATAGACATTCATTGAATGAATATAAAATAAATGAGTTGCAACATGATATTGGAGTATAAATCTAGTATATGTAACTTTTTCTGGAGATATTAATGGTGTCTTTCATTTGCGCTTAAAGCATCCTGCTTATACCAACAAGCAATAACTTTGTTCCAATTTAAGACTGTCATTTTAAATTTTATTCAGTTATTCAGCAATAATTTATATGCTTAAGTAATCATAGCTACAGGATGAAGCTCAACCCTGAATTGCCTAAATTAACCCTCCACGCTAACCTCTGTGTTGTACTTATGCTAATATTTCTCTAGAGTGTGTTTTCCTCTTCTATCTGTGTCAATTTGAAATTAAGTGTGAGCCCAACAACCTGAGAATGTCCAAAGCAGTTGTGAGGAAGTCCAATACCTCTAAGTCACTGAAGATTTCCACTGACATCTGAGAATCACATTCTCACTTAGCATCAGCCCCATCCTGGTGGGTTTTTAGATGGTTCTGATTTTTTTTTTTTTAATATATCTTTATTGATTTCAGAGAGAGGAAAGGAGAGGGAGAGAGAGAGTTAGAAACATCAATGATGAGAGAGTCATTGATCGAGCCCACAACCCGGGCATGTGCCCTGACCGGGAATCAAACCCTGATCGCCTGGATCCCAGGTCAACGCTCAACTGCTGAGCCACGCCCGGCTGGGCTGGTTCTGAATTTTTTAAAGGCCTATAAATTATATACTCAAGGTATATGTACACTGTGATGAAGATATGGAATTATTTTTCTTTTTTCTTTTTTTAAATATACCTTTATTGATTTCAGAGAGAGGAAAGGAGGGGGAAAGAGAGAGAGATAGAAACATCAATGATGAGAGAGTCATTGATCAAGCCCGCCACCAGGCATGTGCCCTGACCGGGAATCGAACCCTGATCGCCTGTATCCTAGGTCGATGCTCAACCCCTGAGCCACACCTGGCTGGGCTGGAATTATTTCATTGATAATTTTCTTCACATTGGAAATACTGCTGATTGGCTGCCAAAGCACATTCTCCACCTGCTTCTCCCTTGCCCACCTTCAAAGAGGAGGCAGGAAAAGTCAGCTATCCATTTTCCCAGCTTCCCTTACAGGTGAGCTGTCATGTGACTCTGTTCTGACAGTGAGATGGGAAAGGATATTTTCTTTCCCTAATAAGAGATGGGAGACAAAGCAAAATGGCCTTGCCTATTCTTGTTGCCTTCCTGATTCCTGCCTTTGAATGCAGTTTGATGCTGGAAATTGTAACAGCCATCTCACGATGATGAAGCAACAAGCCTAAGGATGAGAAACTAGAATATCAAGTATGGCAGAGCGGAAAGAAAGAACCTAGGTCACTGATCACACTGTTGTGTAGCTGATCCAATTTTAGTAACCATCCACCTCCAGACTCCTTGCTCTATAAGAAAGATAAACCCCTCATTTGTTTAAACCACTGTTATTGAGTATTCAGTTATTAACATCTGAACACAATCTAACTGATGCACCCAGTTACTTTAACATTTTCTTGGTGGAAACTAAAACAGAACTAAATTATTGACACCTGATCATTTATACTTAAGCTTATTTGTTGGCAGAGTATTGGATTTTTGGAAGAAACCAGAGAAGAATTATCTTCATTTAAAAGGTTTGGTCATTTTAATTGCAGAAGCAGAGAGTGGCCACCTCTAGCCACAATGCATGGTACAAGTTCTGAGGGATGTGTATTGCAGGTAACTTCTTTCTGACTAAATACCACACTGGGAGCTGGGAGGTCTAGGTTCAGGTTAGATGCTCAGCTAAATATGTGATCATGAACATATTATTGTCTCTGAACTCACTTTCTCATCTGCTGTACCATTTGTAGGATGCTTTCTTTGAAAGGAACAGAAAACTCAACTCAAAATGTCTTAAACAATATGGAAATTCCTTTCCCTATATGATGGAAAGTGTAGAAAGTTGGCCAAACAAGAGATTGATAATGTCTTTGAAGTCATCTCCACCCTGCTGCCCCTCAGTTCCACCTTCATCTTAGGTCTAACTACCTTCATGGCTGCAACATGTTTAATGGCAGCAACTGAGGCTGCATACTTGTTTATTCAAGGCGAGTGTGGTGTTTGGGGGTTGAAGGGGGGGGGAGTATTTCCTATTCAAGGAAGGGAAAGTCCTGAGCTTTGTGGTGATTGTAAGACCTTGAACCAATCAAGGCCAGTGACCAGGGAATGCCAAGAGCTGATTAAGTTAGCTTAATGTGGCAAGGGGGCTGCATTTATTACTTTAATTAATCAGGGTCAACCTTTCCAGGTGAGATGGTTACAATCACACCTCAAACCCAGAGATCCTACCTCATGGTGGAGGGGAAGAACGGCTCTGGGAGAGCAACTCCCGCATCCCCCACATCTGTAAATAACTGAGCTGGACTAGCTGACCTCTAAGGCTCTTTCCAGATCTAAACAGGTGGTGATTCCATGAGCAGAGTGTAAACCTATCTTTGTAGTCATCTTTCTTATTTAACTCCACTTTCTTTTATTTTATAATTGTCCTTTTCTACCTCTGAACATAGGCTTCTGTGGAAAATAACCCCAAAATGAAGTTGACAAGCCTTGGCATAGCTCAGACTGGGGCTGGGGAAAGGAAGTGAAGCTGACAAGGTGACTTGTGAGGGTCACTGCGCACTTCAGAGCAGAATGGAATGATGCCTTATTCATTAGGCACCAGGTGGACATGCCAACTTGGGGTGAGTGACTTGGAACTGTGGGACCCTGAATGGAGGAGATGTTTCTCAGGCTCTAAAGCTCCCTTCTCTAGAAAATGCCCAAGCTCATTAGGAAAGGAAGAAAACCTCATAAAATTATATTTTCCCTTTGATTTGCATTTTTAAAAGGTTTAGTATTCAAATCCTTAACACTGACAAATCTCTCAGCCTCTTGAGGGAGTGGTCAAGGATTTGCACAAAACGTTTTTGAATAGAAAATAGGCTGTGGGTCTCCACCCATCCCATACATTTTGGTAAATACTATCTTTTCTTTCTTTCTTTCTTTTTAAATTACCACACTGAGAATTTTACCAGATGATATTCTAGAAGCTGACTTATGAACTAATTGGGCACTTCCGCTGTGCAGAGAAACAAAGACTTTTTTTTATTGGTTCTCAACTGAGGCTTATACCTGTCTGATGGCGTTGGCTCGTTCCGCACATGCTCAGTCGGACAAAAATGTTCATATTGAATACAACCTAGCACAGCGGCAACACCCAGAACCTCACTCCCTGGCTGACCCGGTGCATACTCTCTCTAGTTGTATTTTTATCCTGAATTGTCTACAATTTATAGGGAGTATGGAGAGCAGAGTAGGTCCTGGGGGCCTGGGGAGGGCAGTACACAAAGGGGCTTAAAGTCTATGTCCCTGCCTTCCTGACCTCTCTCTAGCCTGTCTCTAGCAGGGGGCAGGCGCTGGATAGATTATTTATTGAGTTTGGGCAGAATGCGGGCGAAGCTGTCTCTATAAATTGCCATTTGTTGTTGCACACCTTCCCGTACAGTTTTTGTTTGGTCTTTCCTTGTAGGTGGACGATCCTCCTTTCCCCAGGCCCTGTATTCATTAACGAATGACAATGGCACTAAAGGCATCCGCCGCCTAGCACGGTCTCGAGTGACAACCTCTACACCTTTTTTCTACCTTTCCCATTCATCAGGACTCGTTCCCAGCAAAAACTGGGAAAGGCTTCCAGCGGTTACAAAAGAAGGGGGTGGGGGCGGCCGGAGTTCCGAGCCTCTCCCTGCAGACAGTCGAAAACCCGCATTCCCTAGTGGACCTTTTGTCCCCGGCCCCTTCAGCCGCTTGGTCGCGGAGGTGACGACCCCGCCAACCCCCACCTAAGCGGCTGCCGCCCGCGCACACCGCGGG